TTTTTAGGAAATTAAATAGACACCAAAAAGTGTAGTGTCTAATGAGCTCTTTTTTTATGTATATCTTTTATATATAAAGTATGATATTTAATTAGTGATCAAAATATACCCAAAAGAATTGTCTCGAGTTATCAAATGACAACCAAATAAGAGTAAAGTAAACAAACAGGGATTAAATAGTTTTTTTACATCATTACTCTTAAAACAAGTTAAACCACGTCGTCAATAGAGAGACTTTTTTTAAGAGAACTATTACAGGCCTTATAGAAAAAAGATTGTTAAAACCAAACGGCTTGTATATTGTAGGAAAATATATGTCACACTACTAGATCATTATGAAGCAAATACGTGTGCTTACTACTTAAGTTAAATGCTCTATAGAATGATTGAGTTTTAATTGAAAACTTTTTCCAAACATATGGAAGATCCTCACACAAGTGAGTCACATCAAGAAAATCACACAACTTTATTTAAACTGTGACTTGCAAAGTTGGTTTAGAAAGTGTTGAAATATCTATATATAAATTAAATTTATCCAATCCATCTGTTTAAGATTTTGGGTTCAGTAAAAATCAATGAAGGAGACGTATGATTTTAAATAATGTGGTTTTTGAGAACAGCATGACATAATTGACTTTTACTTATCATTTGCTCAAAAAAAATTGCTAATAATAAAAAAAAATTATTTTCATTAATGTAAAAATGAAGTGAAAGATTACCCTTTTTTCCCTTTTTTTTCTTTTTAACCATATAATAAAGTAGGAAAAGTGGCTTGAGGAAAGGAGAAAAGGGAAAAAGAAGAAGAAGATAAAAGTATGTGAAAGTATAAAGTTAAAAAAAGCAAATAGATATTGGACCACATAAAAGAGTAAAAAGAAGTGAGAGCAAGAAATTTTAGTAAATGGCACAAATAATATTATATTATTTTTTTTAGTTCACGATATTATATTGTTATACACATGCATAGGGTTGATTTTTATATAATATATGAAAAAGAGTAGCATAGCATTTTTTCTTTTTTATATATAAAGAAAATGGACATTGTATCTCTATACTTAGGTTGGACCAAAGTTTTAAAATGACAACGTTGATGTCTCAATTTTATGGGAAATGTCAAGAAAAATATTATAAAATGTCGGTATTGATAGATATGTTTTAAAAGGTTATAAAAATTTAAAAAAATCATAACTAATATTTAAATTAACAAATAAACATTCTTTTTTATATAAATTAAAAACTTATTAATATAAATATTAATATTAGTGATATTTTATTGATATGTTTTATATTTTGTTAATTTTATTCAATAGCACGAAAATATCGATTCACCTCTCGTGTACTCAGGAAAATATAGAAATATCAATGGAAATATCCACAGAAATTTAATAAACTGAATTAGACTACTAGTTTTATTTAAAGAAATATCCACGACTTTAGCCATTCTTTCCGCTAATCTACAGTTTCTTCTTCTTCTTCTTCTTTTTTTTTTGAAACATCTACTAATTTATAGTCATTCTTAAGTTCAAGTTTGAATCCTATTTCTATTTATATAATTTCAACTTCCTTTCATTTTTTTCGTTATATTGTGCATACTTTCAAAACGTTCAACATTCTTATCAACTTTTGTCTTTTTTCATCTACGTGTTTAGAATTGTGTTAAAATTTTATAAGACAATGACCAAAACAATCTCCACTAAAATTACAAATACCAAAATGAACAAATGTTAAAAATACCCGAACCAAAAATGAAAGTTTCCACCAAATAGATAAAAGTTGAAAACGCGATACCAAAATAATATTTAAACTTTTTTTTAATTAAAATACATATTTGTAATTATTTCAAAAGATACAGGTGCTCTGCTCAAATTTCCCATAATTTTATTTATGTGACTTCCAAATAGGCTTGATATAAATAAAAAAGACAAACTCTTGGAAATCTTACTAGGTAGCATTTAAAAATAAAAAAATATTTGCAAATGTGTTTTTAATTAATCTTGATGTTTGATCCATGTTTAATTTGTAGAGCAAACGAACTGACTTGCAATCAATTTGCCACCAAAAGATTCATAAAATTCCTTTTTTTTTCCTAAGATGGCTGATTGAAATTGATAACCATACACAAAACTAAATATTCTATTATAGAAACATATTCCATCAATATTCTTACGAAAACCAATTAAAAGAAATATTATTATAATYATATAAACAAATTTCATCTGCTTTTAAAGTTCAAAAATTTATTTGTTAAATAGCTGTATAAACATCCATCTAATTTTATAGGCTAAACAATTTTAAAAAATGATTAAATAGAGCGTACGAATTTCTTTTCCTTTTATAGCCATGGACGAGGACTTTTAGGATATTCGTGAGTGTTCGGACCAATTTATATGCATATCGACTAATTTCACAGGGTAACTGTCTGACCCTACAACGTTTGGTGCCGGGAAACACAAAGGAATTACTAATTTCTAAGATAGGTGGCCATCATGGACTAGGACTTTTATTAAGCACTTTTCATAAAAATAACTCTGAACTCAAGATCTTGGACTTGCAACTTTATCCAAGAACTCGATCCCTCACAAACTAGGCGGCAGATAATAGGAAAACAGAGTTTAAAGATTAGGTTTGTGGATAATGCTTCTATAATGAATGAGACGTTTGTGATTGTAGAGGTGTAATTGGGTCGGGTTGGGTCGGTTTTCATTGCCCATCTTTGATTCTCCAAACACAAACGTCTCATTTTCAGCAATCTTATTTTCAAACTTCCCCATGCTGAAGCTGCTTCTCAGCAATACTAAAAGATAAAACTTTTAAAAGCTTTCTCTAAGGGCTTTTCCAAAAACATCTCCTTCGGTCTCTAGAAGCAGGAGTGGGCAGAAGAATTAATGATTAAAAGAGCAATATTATAAACCGTACATGGATGCATAACCAACCAAATAGTGCATTTGAGCAGTGTTGGCAATGAAGAAACTGGCCCAGGATTTATAACACCAATAGCCTATGATTTCACTCATCTTGCCAGTGTTAAAAATTCGAGACTGTTTTTAGAGGGTAGAGAGATTTTGGGAGGGCGTTTGGGCTCTTGTTTGGTTGGTTTCATGTTTTCCTTTGGGCTTAAGTGTCCAAAGATTTTTGTAATTACTCCTTAGGTTTGATCCTGCCAGATTGGGGCCATTATTTTAGTTTGGCTCCCTTTTGTTGGGCTATTGTTTTTTATGTGCTTTTGTAATTATTCTTCTCAATGAAAGCTTGACTTTTCTTCAAAAATATTCTGGGATTATTTGGTTGAGGAAAGCTACTACTTCATCCACAATATAAAGCTATCTCTTCCTATTCCCCTTATAATGAGGTTATTATTCCAAGACTTGCAGCATATATTTTTCCCCGCACGTCTGATGTCCAAGGTGAAAGTAAGACTTAAGTCTTCATTCTTTCATAATGGTGTCTGGAAAACAAAGTGATAGACATAGAGTTGGAGAAAAGGTTCAAGAGGGTAAAATTATTTATTGTAGTGAAAATTATGAACCAAACCTAAGAGGAAGATCGATATTATGAATATCCTTTGATGCATATCATTGCAAATACAAATATAGAGGGTCGAGTCCTTTTTTCCCTTTCCTTTATGCCCCTTCTAGTGTAGCTAGACCGACTATTCAAGGTTTGGATTGGGATACAATTAGTAATAGAATCTCCTTGTTCCTTGGAGGAAATCAAGAGAATTGGATTCAGTTTTGATGGAAGGCAACAGATCCAAAATGGGTTTACTTTGACTTTTTGTCGGGAGAGCTTGGAGGCCATCAAGGATGAATGGGACTTCTATATGTTTTATTGTCAAAGAATTATGCTAAAGTAGTGAACTTCAGGTCAGGCCCATCAGGTTGGTAGTGGGTTCATGTAAGATCATTGCTAGAGTCCTGGCCTAGTTAATAATTGCGAAGGGTGGTCTAGTTTCACAAAACCAAAAAACCTTTGTGGTTAGGAGATAATTTTTAGATGAGGTCCTCATTGCTAACGAAGCAATTGAAGATTATAGAGCCTGCAAGAAAGAAGAGGTAACTTTTGTAAGTAGCTTTGAGAAGGCTTATGATCATGTTGACTCTACTCTGCTTTTCTGGATAAGATTGTGTGGAAAACCGAAAACAGATTTTGGTTTCGAGTGAAGAACCTAGATTGGGAATTGTTTACGAACAATGAATCTCTTTTCATGTCCATGGTAAACCTGAGGGAAAATCGTTGCTTCCAGGTTGGGTGCCATTTATCTCCATTCCTATTCCTTCTATTTGTCCTAAGCAATATCGGTTCCAAGGGTATGGACATAGGTCTAGTTGAGAGATTCTTCGCAGGAAAGGAAAAGTCCATCCTCCCATCTTCACATTGTTGATAACACTATCTTTATTTTCATCTGTTCAAGAAGGGAAGATGCCTTAGGTAATCTAAATCTTAGTCTTTGAATTCATTTCAAGTCTTAAAACTAACATTTAAAAATAAATAGTAGTTGGAGAAAATCATAGTCAGGCTAAAGTTTCTAAACTAGCCATGTGGGCTTATTTGGTGGGGTGTGAGATCTCTTGCCTACCTAAGTATTACCTAGACCTTCCAGGTTGGGTGCCATTTATCTCCATTCCTATTCCTTCTATTTGTTCTGTGATTCAGTGGTTGAAAGTTCAAAAATACGTAAATGCTCAGGAGACTCACTTGAATCTATTGTCCTCGATGGAATTCTAATTAACTTTCTTTCTTTATTTTAGGATTCCATCCAGAGTTTGCAATAACTTGGAGAAAATTATGAGGGCTTTTTGTTCAGAAAAAGTAGATGAAGGGGTGGTTTCATCTGGTTAAGTGGGAGGTTTATCCAAATACTCGATGAGTTCATTGTGGTCCATGTGTTATAATATAACAGATCATAATTGAATAACTTATTGTCGAGATCCAATCTCCACGAAATCCAGCATTAACAGCATAATTACCCCCAACAGAACATATCAAGATAACTCAGATCATGAACAGAAAGAAAAGAAATAATCATCAACAGTAAACGTTGACAGCATGAATACGTATCCATTCACATCACTGAGAGACAAACATTGATTACTTCTCCAAATATCAAACAGTCAAAACCACGAGATCTCAGCGGTTAAACAAGAACCAAACTAAAAATCAACATAGTTCACACGATTCAAAACCCCACGGCGATTTTATTTCTTATTGCTACTTTTACCTCCGGACGAATCACCTCCCGATGCCGCCTGAGCCGCCTTCTTCGCCGCCTTCTCTTGCAGCGCCTTCGCATCCCTAACCAAGAACACAAAATCAATCATATACCAAATCAAAAACCAAAGAAACAAGAAGCAAAACGAGAGACGAACAAACCTCTCACGGCGCTGCTCGGGGGTCAAACCATCATCCTTGCCCTTGCCCTTGGCGGTGTTGCGAGCTTGGGCCCTCTCTCGGTCCTTCTCCCTCTGGTTTCCGCGTGGAGATCTGAGTCAAGGCAAACAAACTAGGCAGAAAAACAAGAAATCTTCAAACACAGAAAGAAAAACCGCAATTCAGAGAGATCCGTAACCAAAAACAAGAAATCAGAGAGCAGAAAACGAGGAATGGAAAATTGAGAAGGATATGGGTCATTGTGGGAGCTGGAAAGTTGTGGAAATGGTGGAGGAAGCCGAAGAAACTCGCAATTTAATCTCTGAAGCAGAGGGTCAACCGTCGGAAGGACGAGAACAGGGGAAACGGAGATTCCTTTTATATATTTGCCCACTTCTTGTATTCTAATTCTCTTCTTTCCATAATTGATTTTTCCTCTATACCCTTGTTGGTTTAGAGAATATTTCGTTCCATTGGTACCGTAATAAAAAAAGTTTTTCATTTTTCCTCGACCCGACCCATAACATTCGGTGCTGAAAAATATACCGGAGTTAATTAAGTTGAACCAATTTCTTCTTGATTTACCTTAGTTTCTTTGGATCAATTAGTCATCTCGGATGGTTGACAGTTTTTTTAGGTTAAAAAATATTTTTGTTTAATAAACAACCATTTAGTCATTGATTTAGTACTTGAAATTTAGTAAGTATACTTTAGTCCATATAATTTAAAGTTGGTAATAATTTTGTTTCTATAGTGAAAATTTTTGTAAGTTTCTCATACATGTAGATCGATAAATTTATTACAAAKACTAAATTGTTGTATGATAAAAATAGACGCTTAATTTTCATAAGCACAAAAATCAAAATAAACTAAATGTAATTTTGAAAAGTGCAAAAAAAAAACCAAAATAAAAATAAAGTCAAAAGTTAGGGACTAAACCAGCATTTAGGGAGAAATTTTGAATTAAAAAAATTGCATAATTCAAATCAAACTAAGTTGTATTATATTTGAAAAAAAAATGAAAAGTGATGATAATTTTTTAATTATAAATGGTGGAGTTTGTTTATGCGAAAAGTTGATCTGGGCCTGGTCAAATGTCGGCCACGTGGAAAAGCTGACTCGCCTCGACGAGAGATGACCTGCACAAGAGGCAAACTCTCTTATGCTCAAGTTAGTAAGTAGTTGAGACTCAATATAAAGATTGAGATAGAATTCGATACTTGTCACTCGATAGTACAGGGATCCGACAGTATTTTCGACAGACAGTTATCGATGTCGGAAGTCAAGTCGGACATGTCCCAAATATTTGGTCGGTCCTTGTGGTAGGTCAGACACTAAGATGATATACATATTCAAACACTAAGATGATATACATGTTCAATATCCGATTTTGTACTCTACCTCGGACCTTCGAGGTGGACCTGAGACCCATATGTATCAAGGTGTACGCATCTATGTCCTCCACGTGTCATGATGATTTACACCCCAACATAATTATTGTATTTTTATACCTTTCAAGAACATGAATTTATTGTAATTAAACTCAACTGTTAATGAAGTTGTAATAATAACTATTTCTCAACTTTTAGAATGTAATTACTCAATTGAAAGTTTATGGTGTAATTGAAACCAACCAATAAGTGAAATTTTTGCAATTTTTTTCGCGACATTAATAAATTTTGCTGTTAAACTTTTTGTATTATATCTAATAAAAATATAATTTAAATATATTACCAAAATCAATATAAACAAACAAACATGACATTAATATTTAATATATAAAAAGGATAAGTTATATATTTAGTTCTTTATTTAGTCTTCAAATTCTAAAAAGTTTTAATTAATTATGTTTCTATACTTTTATTTTTTTATTATAATAAATATTTGTTATTAACCTCAGTTTGTTAAAAGTTGATGTAACTTGTTTATTTTATTCGACTCACAGTGATGATTTGACTTAATATACTATAGTATTAAAAAAGTAGATTAATTATATAAAATAAATGTAGGTGTAAGTGTGGGCCAAAAATCCAAATCAAAATGTATTTCCACTTCGTCCTTTTTTTATATTTTAGTTTAACGCACATTCGAGAGATTTGAACCTTGAACCTATTATTTTGTAGTACTTTATCGATTTGCAATATAGAATATGCATGCTTTTGTAAAAGAATGAGGAGCTCACGACACAGAAAAATGGGAACCATCCTGAGACTACTCGAGTTCATTTTTTTGTCACTACTACTAATTGTCGTTGGAGAAACACAAATTGACGCCTCCTTGAAACGAAGTTCAACAAGCACTTACTTTAAATAGAGACCCACAAGCACCTGACTTTCCCTTTTCTTCTTATTCAATAAAGTCGACCTCTTTTTTGTTAATGTTGCTCTTGTTTGTATGTAGATAAAGAAAGTCAAATTTAAATGGAAGTTGGTGCCTTTTATTTGCACTCTAAATTCTTAAATAAGTAATATTTTGACTAGTTAATCTCCGTAAATATTTGTCGTGCCATTCATGCATAAAAACGAAAAATAAGATTATTAATAATCAACCAAGAGGTGAAGATCAAATTGCTTCTCCATGATTTTTTTTATTATTATTATTATTTTTTACAATTTAAAACATTTGAGACAAGTTTTTTTATCCCTACGTCCAAACACCACAAAAATAAAAAATAAAAATAAGAATAAAAGAAGAACAATTGAGGGTGAAATTCCGAAAAAACCAAAGCTGAGGGCATTTATAGCCACCTTTTTTCTATATGACCACAAGTGCCCGACGGAACGCAGAGATACTTCGATACGACGTCGTATAGCCACATGCTTTTGGGCACTCTACTGACCAATAACGACCACTGATTCAAAAAAATAGTAATAATAATAAAAATAAATTAAAAATAACCACAAAAATATTTTTCAAAAAGAGTTTAATTGTAAATTTGATTTGTGTAATGGTTTGTTTCAATTTGATTTTGATTTGGGCTTAATTTTAATTTGGTATTTTATGATTCGGTCAAATTGTTATCAATCTGACATGTTTTTTTATTCATATGGTTGACTAATTATTATATTAGTAAACTATGTTAGAGTCTTAATAGAGAGTAAAAAATGAAGAAAAAAGATGATAGGTTTTCGTCTATGAACAAATTTTTAAGTTTCGCCCAATAATCAACACCATCGAGAGGGGAGATTGTATTCAAAAGATTTTGTGAAATCTGCCGAAAATCTTCATGCATGGCTTTTTAGCATAGCTCAGATACTCTGTCTTTGAATTCTTATCGTGTCACGTCATATCATTATTAAATCCTAAGCTAAAGTGTATGACATAAGTTAATGGACTAGTAAATTTAAGGTTTAAATACTATTTTGCTTCTTTAAACTTTGTTTATTTTGGTTAATGTGTCTTCAAAATGTCTATTTTGATCTTTATACTTTAAAACTTTTTTCTATTTTACTTCATGTACTATCGAAATCTATATTTCAATCTTTGTACTTTTAAAAAGGGATTGTTTAAGTAGAAATCGCAAATTTTARTTCTTGTACTTTTAAACGTTCATTTTGATAGTAGAATGATGAAGAGGTTAGATCTATAATTCGTGAATTCATTCATTTACAAAAAATGAGATCAATTTAGCACTCGTCTAGAAACCATCCAGAAAAGAATAAAATTATATTTCAAAAATAAAACATAGCCTAAAATTTTGGTCACTATTTTGTAAGTAAATCATGATTATACATGTTTTAATCACCAACCATTTATATTTGTGTCTGATAAGAGGTTATAAGTTTAAATCACACGTCAGTATTCATTTATTGCATTAAAATAAAAAAAAATCTAAGTAGTATTTATTTAAAGGAAAGGAAAAAAAAAAGTGAAAAAGATGAAAGTACTATCCTACCCATATGGTTGTCCCCAAAGCTTTTCTGTCTCTCTCTTCCTTTACCAAAGTTGTGTTGTGTTGCGTTCTCCATGGCAATGCCCACACTTCTCTCTAGCTTCCTCCTTCTCGTGATCGGAAGCTCCGCCGTGGCGGACGG